CCCGTCCCTCATCCTGCCTAGTGCGCCCCGCCCCTGCCCCCTTTCTCTCGCTAGTAGCTGGCTCTTGGAGGGCTCCGCTACTTGCCTCTTCCGGGTCCTGGACCACCCGCACGTCCCCCGGCCCTAAATTTATCCCCGCGCCCCGCCCTCTTCGCCAGCCCGAAAGCAGAGCCCAGCGGGCGCTGAAGGGTCGAATTGGAATAACTGGCCCGTTGGGTGCCCCGGCTCTTCCGAGAGTTTGATCCCCGGAGCGAGTTTTGCCGGAGAAGGGGAGGGGCTGAGGGGCGTGGGCCAGGCAGAAGGAAGAGGCCCGACCCCGGGGCCCCGGACGGGTTTTACCGCTGAGCTTTGGCGGCGACGGCGGCGGGCTCGCGCCACCTGTCCGAGTGCCACCTGGTGAGCGCGGCGCGGCGGGCCAAGCCCCTCCCCCCGAGAGCCTTCCTCGCCCCTCCCCGGCCTGCGCTCGATCTCCTCCCGGCTGCCCATTCCCGGGCCGGGAGCGTGCCGGCCCGGCTTCCACCCGGTTCTCCTCTCGCAGGTCTCCGCCTAGCTGGGGCTGAGCAAGAACTCGGGGTGACAGTGCGGTGACGGAGGCTCCAGGCGCCCTTGGAACGGAGTGGGGAGCGCGCCCGACCATCATGCCGCGTTCGTTCCTTGTTAAGAGCAAGAAGGCTCACAGTTACCACCAGCCGCGTTCCCCGGGACCCGACTATTCCCTCCGACCGGAGAGCGTGCCGGCGCCGGGCGCAGCAGGTGCGGGGCGCGCGGGCCGGGCGGGGCTGCCCACGGGGACCTAGACTCTGAGCCCAGCCACACCAACCCCCAGGAGCCGGCCAGGGAGGCCCGATGCCCCCACACTCCACCCCCCGTGCTGCATGTTTCGTTTCCTACTGTCCGTTTTGTTTTTGTTTTTGTTTTGTTTTTTTCCGGGCTTGTCGCTTAGGTGCCAGGACCTCTCCGCTCTCGCCCTCGGGCCCGGGAGTGCTCCCGGCCAGGTCTGGGGAGAGGGGACGCCCGGGTGCCACGGTCTGGGGAGCGCCAATCCAGAGCCGTCGGGCCCAGTCGGCCCAGCCTGAGCACCTAACCTGCCTCCTCTCCGCAGACAGCACCTCGAGCGCAGGGGGGGCGAAGGCGGAGCCCCGGGACCGTTTGTCCCCCGAGTCACAGCTGACTGAAGCCCCTGACAGAGCCTCCGAGTCCCCCGGCAGCTGCGAGGGCAGCGTCTGCGATCGGAGCTCGGAATTTGAGGACTTCTGGAGGCCTCCGTCGCCCTCTGTGTCTCCAGGTAGGGACCCGCTGGGAGCCCTGGGGTCCGGGCGGCAGGGACCTCTTGGCGAGGAATGAACCCGCGCGACTCTGGGCTCGGAGATGCTAAATGGATGGCGGAGGGTCTTTCCTAGAGGAGGGAGAGTTTTCGTGGGGTGTAGAGCCCCCGGGGAGGCCTCTGGCTTCTCGAGGCCTGTGACAGCCGGCCTGCGGGTCTGCTGCCTGGACCCCAGGCGGCGGGACCCGGGCCTAATTCGTTTGCGCAGAGCGGGTGGGTGAGAGAAAATAAATGCGTGGTCTCGACCAACAGCAACGTCGACATTTCGTTTTCCGGCCAGAGCTGATTGTTTAGAAAGAGCTGGGCTCCCAGAATCCAGAAA